CCATGGGTCAGCTCGGGTCAGCTTCGTGAGGCTTGGGGCCCAGTATAGTTCGCGCTCCTCGCAGGGAGCTCGGGTTCTCAGGAGGGAGCTCGCTCTTATCAGGGAGCTCGGGCTCCTAGTAGGGAGCTTGGACTTGGGAGGCTCAGGTTCTTTTGGGAGTTCGGGTCCTTTAGCTCGGGTTCTTTAGGGAGCTCGGGTTTTAGGGAGCTCGGGCTCCTGGTACCGAGCTAGGACTTAGGGAGCTTGGGTTTTAGGGAGCTGGAACCTTTAACAGGGAGTTCGCTTTTAACAAGGAGCTCGGACTAAACACAGCGATCTGGAGTTAGGGTTCGGTAGTGAGTTTTGACTTGCTTCCGATGTTCGCTTTGGGTGCTCTACTGTCCCGAGCTGCTTGCCTTTGCCACGTGTCGGGCGAACGCGAGGTCGGGCCAAATTTCCCTTCATCAATTTTGAACGAATCAGAATCTCAGAACTCATAATCTTTATTGTGAACGAATAGACACCGTTCCTAGTCTCCTACTCCTAGCCGTTTCTTGGGGTAAACAACTTTTGATGGGACCCAGCTATATCGGGTTCGAATCTACCCCCAACCGACTTGCGCCCCAAAATCGTCCCACACCATTAGAAGTTGCCGCGTGTCCTCCTACACGCATGCATCTCAGTCTCGTGCGGAGCTAATGAAACGGCGGTTAGCTCCCATTTCACCCAAAAAAGTCGGTCTCAATCTTTATCTCAGTCTCTCACTCCTCCTATCGACCTGCCCGCCGGATCTTGTCAATAAATCCAACGCCGACGATCATTCCGGTAGATACACCGGGGGTATATACTCCCCGTCCCTCTCATCTCACATATTCTTGAATATGTTTTTTCTCAGTTTTTTTAACCTTCTTTTTTGCAATAAAAAAACGCAGAAGGGAAGAAGATACAGGTGCTGGCTCTTCTGGTTAGAACTCAAAGGCTTACAACGACAACAATGTCTTTTTATGTCATCCCCAGAAAGCTCTTTGTCTTGATTATGAGACTTTTAGTTCGACAAACCAACTGCTTGATTTCCATCACAGAAACACATCACTTGTTTATGAGGTCCTCAGCGCCAACCCTCTGATCACGGAAACGATTGTGCTCTGTCTGGCCCACACAATTTTTATGGTTTTAATTAACGCCATTCTTCAAATAACCATGGATTTTGCTCTTATCTTTGCACTGCGTATCAGCCCAGCTGGAGACATTCCATGGTTAAACTCAAATCAGTGAATTTAGAGTGGAGTATTGCAGGAGGAAGAGAGAACAGATTCGAGAATACCTATCGGCGATTCTTCCCTTTTGCGTTTTTTCTATTGCAAAAAAGTTAAAAAACTAAAAAAAAAAAAACATATCTGAGAATATCTGAGATGAGAGGGATGGAGAGTTCTGGTGTATCTGCAGGAATGATCGTGGCGTCGGATTTCTTGGCAAGATCCGGCGAAGGAGGAGATGGGGCGGTCTGAGTTTCAGAGGGCAGGTCGATCGGAGTGAAATTCACTTTTTTGGGCGAAATCACTGAAATGGGAGCTAACGGGACGAGCTAACGGCCGTCCCATTAGCTCCGCACGAGGTTGAGGCGCTTGCGTGTGGGAGGACACGCGGCGTTTTTAATGGTGTGGGACGTTTTTGGGGCGCAAGTCGGTGGGTGGCAGATTCAAACCCTGCTATATCTAGTATCCACTATCCAATGGTAGCTTTCAGTTTCACCCGGACCGAAGGGTCCGGACTCCAGGTCCAGAGTCAAAGAGTCCGGACTCCGGACTGCATGAGCATGAACTCGTCCTACAGGCTACACCACTCTCCGTGGAACTGTTAGTAATGACATGGCTCATTTACTGCCCACTGCCCACCACGTGTCAAATGCGGTGATATTCCGTATCGAAGGCTGAAAATACGTGGATCATTTGATTTCTTTGCTAGTTCGGTGAACATACGATATACGCTATATACGTCTCGTGAGAATGAGATCCGTATATGTCTCTTAAAAAAAAAAAGAGAGATGAGAGATCCGTATTATATGTCGTATTTCACAAAAAGTCCGATATCACACCAATCCAAAGGCTAAAGCCTCATGGACCCCACTTTCACAGATTTCCCATATATAAATAATAAAAAAATAGGATGCATCATGTAACACACAAATATCTCATGCACGAGAAGAGAAAGAGAAGAGAAGAGAGAGCATGCAAACTCTCTTCTTCCTTAAATCTTTCCGGAGAGAATGAAATAAGGAAAGATTTTAGAGAGAGAGAGAGACAACCAAACACTCCAAAACCTCTGTAAACCCTTTTCCTTCCTATAGATTTTTTCAGAAGGAGAAGTCTACTTAGTTGGGCGAAATTTCGATCGCCATGTCTCAAACTTCGCCGGAAAACTATGACCGTCTCCTTCATCAGTATCTCAACAACTCATCATCCATTCGAGATGCTTTACTTGAACCCCTCCCCCAACCGTCGTCTCTCGAATCAGCATTTGTCCGTCTAAATCTCTCCGGAAACCCTTCTCTCCAGTCTTCGTTCCTTCCATTGGCACCCCCCGCTTACGACGGTG